GACATACTCTTCAGGTATGTATCTTATGATACCCAGCTGGCGCTAGCGCTCCGGTCCCGCGTTCTGGCATACTGCCCTATTCCCTCCCCTCCTCCTCCTCTCCCCTCTATTGCAACCCCTTGGGTTCTAGCGGATAGAAGATGTGCCCACTTGGTGTACCCCCCCTTTCAAGTACTGGAAACACGCCTGTGGCATTTGCTTAGCCGGCACCATACGCGTTCTCACACTATACAGTGGTCTTCCTCCCCCTCCCCTCCTTCCTCCCCCCTTGCCCCTTCATTTCTAGCAGCTATATGCTGCCCAAAACTTGGTCTAGACAGTATTCATATACTAGGAATACAACTATGATGTCCGCTTAGCTCCCCAGTTCATTGATCTCAACCTATCAGCTGAGCTACCCCCACCTTGACCTCCTCTTCCCCTACCTTGTAGCAGCTCTCCATGTTTTATCATGGCTCCCTGTACCTCATGGAATGTGTTGATGATGTTTCTATCCCAGCCAGAACATGTATTGACCTCATCCAATAGCACACCAATATATTTCACTGCATATATCAACCCTTAAAACTGTGGGAAAAAAGACTGGAAGATCTAGAAACTGATACTGTACTGACCTGAATACTACTAGTCAATCAAAGTATGGTAGTACAGATAGAGTTGCCTGCTAAAATTCCCATGCCCTGATTGACTGGCCAGACCTAATATAGTACTGTTTACACAAGTGCACTGATCTGTATGAAGAAATGGGATAGAAGGTGGGAGCACAGAGTGATGGAAGGAACAGTAATTGGATCAATTGCATTGCAGTACCAGAGGCAAATCCAGTTAGATTTGCGTCTAGCAATGCATGAAAAGTTCTTTGGTAACATTTCCCTAAATACATCTGTTAGCTCTCTGGTTGTTTAATTGCATACAGTAGCTATACTAGTCTACTCACAGTGATTATAGCTATCACTACAAAGCATGTGGCCATATTGTATAGCTAACCTGTGGCCAGAATTGAGGGGCAGACCCTTGGGGGTGAGTTTGATGGCTCCTGAGGCAAAATTCCCACACTGTGTCGTGAGCTCGAGCTCACGATGCCTGCCGGACCGATGTCCGAAATTTTCCCACGCCTCTCCCTGAGCAGAAACTGGTCTGTATAGCTCAGATCTCTATCGATTGACATGAACCATAGTATCACTAGGGTCAGATTTTTAAGTAGAGTTCAATGGTAGGTACAAGAATGTGGTAGTCTCAGAGCTAAGTGCGCTATAGCCCATACTAACCAACTCAACTACAGTGATCTGAAGACTAGAGCCCAGTACTGTATGTACATTGAAGAAAATATACATACCCTATCACTAACTACTGAGTGACATTTTTCTCATTGGAGCTGGCCAAAAATAGGGCATTCACTTTATTTTCAAAATATGGCATGAGCAGGAATTGAACCCACAACCTTTGCAAAGAATAGATAAAACACAACTTACTACCACTGCACTATTTGGATCTAACTAGTCTGTCTTGCACATTTATTACATCTAGTCCACAGTTAGCCAAGGCTGAGTGCTTAGCCTTCCACTCACATGCCTTGGCTCAAACTGTTTGACCCATACCTGTCTACCTCCCCTACCATCTTCCACATAAACAACACAGTATTGCTCATCTCAAAGAGACAAATCTAATGATGGATAGTATGCACTGTCAATGAGATGAAATAAAATCAATGGTAAATCCTGTATAAATTGAGATTGGACTGTTCCACCTGTATGATAGTGTGTATGCTCTACTGAGAACAGTGTATTCACTGTCTATAGGTGTATCAAATATGTATGTGTCTGATTCAAACACTTCCATTTGGTTATGCTAGCAGGGCAAAGAATATACTATCTAGATAAACTCAGGTGAGGGGAGAATAAGCACAGTAGTAATACTGATTGAAAAGCGATGTGGTGCAGTATAGTTTAGGCACTGGCATAGTATGATAATATATGGTAAGGCATGCCATAGAGGTAGCATATACTGTTCAGGAGTACTGAATAGCCCAAGATGAGGAGCTGATCTATCAGTACTGAGGATAGACTAGCAGTCCAAAGAAGTGTACTGAAATGACGGGCCTCTAGGGCGCTACTATGCTGGTATAGATGTGCAGACATGTTTGTTTCATTCACCACTATTACAATAGCTACTCACAGGCACCCCTGGCCCAGGAGGTAGGGCTGGGAAATGCTAGTGTAGTATATGGGCTATCAACTCGGATCATCAAAATTGGCCTGTAGTCACTTGAGATATGCTTATGCCCTTTTAAGGACTGGTGAGATACTGCCCTAGCTCTCATTAGATGACAATGAAATCCAACAGATCCCAGCTTGCCTGCTTCAATAGCAATAACATGTATTCGACTGAGCCTGACACAAAACACACCACGGGGCTGCGCCCCGTGGTGTGGGGATTTCTCTTCTCTTATACAAGTATAAGACAGTGTGTATTAGATAAACTAGAGTCAGGGATGACTCGTTTCTGCAAGCTGTGCGGCCCCACTTCTACGAGTACGGCAATTGAGTCAAAACCTTGACAAGGCGGGAGGTCGGTGATGAAGTCGGTCATCATAATCTGGAAGGGACGGGTGGGGACCTCATTTGGGCGTAGCGGTATCTCCGGCGGGTGATTGTGAATCTTCATGTGCTGGCAAGTGGCATAGCCTTGGATGTATTTGTGGATGAAGACAGACATACTGGGCCACCAAAAATCTCTTTGCACGAGTTCCATCATACGCATGCATCCAGGATGGCCCGCCGCTGGTGTATCATGGCAGAGACGCACGATGTCACGCTGTGGGTCCTGATCTTCAGGGATGTAGAGGCGGCCATTGTACATCAGAAGACCGTCCTTTGGTTCCCAACCAACAAGCTTGCGCTTTAATGCAGCCAGTCCCTCCTTGTCGATGATATGCAGGGCTTCTGTCACCTCCTGGTCCTTCGTGTCTGTATCTAGAATTTGTTGCCTGACATCATCCAGGGATACTAGTTGAGTGGCATTAATGGACACTTTGGCCACCAGGAACAGGACACGGTTGGAGTTGTCCTTGGAGACGCCGAGGCGATAATCAGGATGGCGGGACATGGTTGTACCAGCCAGGGCGATGACAAAGAATGAAGTCAAAGCGCAAGAGGTATAAGGCCCACTAAGCCTGGCATTTGTTCAACTTCTGTGCAGTGGTAAAGTACTCAAGATCTCAACCTGGTGCAGAGAACCCTCAAGATAATGATGCCAGTCCTTGAGCGTGCGGATAATGGCCAAAAGTTCCTTGTCCATATATAGATGCTGACCCTCCACACTGAGACTGTGGAAGAGGATCATGCACAAGCACACTGACACTGTGGAAGAGGATCCGTGTGGACTTTGTAATTGGGGGCCCTGGTCGAATGTAAAATATTGCTGGGGTAGCTTGGTGATCTACTTGGGGTGCTCGGGAGACTAGTATGGATATTGTACGTATTCAATACAATAGCTATACAGTACACTAGTATACTATTGTAGTGTACAGTACGAGCTAATAGCATCTCTTTTTGGACACCCCCGAGCATTGCCCCGAGAGCCCCGAGCTCCGAAGATCTCTGAGCTCAAATTTGACCACTTTTGTGAGCCTGAGAAGGTGCTTTTCTAGTGGGTAATCTTCATTGGAATGAGCTTGATAGGCTCTATATATGCTTATTAGTACTAGGAAGCTATATATCAGCCAAACAATAGTATCAGATGGCTAGATTGAGAAATTGATGCTGGGCTCTCAGGTCGGCTCTTATGCTCGGGTGCCTCGGGGCTATAGGCATCCCGAGTCCCGAAAATGGTGATTTTGGGCAATCAAAATCCATCATCTCTGGCACACAGAATATATTGAAATAGGTACAGTGTCTCTACTCGGTCTACACACACTCATAAACATATGTGTAGGCTATAAACAGTATCCAAACTCACCGGAATTGAGAATTGATTTGGTTGCTGAACCCAATAGCTACTGTATTTTTTTGATCATAAGTTCACCTCTGATAGAGGGGGACAGGGGACACAAAATAGGTCAGCTTACAAATAAGTTCATCACTACCATATATGGTAATTTTGATGGTCTTTGAAAGGATTTTTGCAATATTTTTATTGCTTTATAAGCAATATTTAAGGTGGGGACAGGGACAAATGATCCTATAGGTTCATGTTTACTGGCCCTGGAGATAGGGGACACACTTATGGTTGAAAAAATACAGTATACTCGGAGCGGTTGGGTACTCAGGATGCTTAGAATGCTCAGGGAATATACAATTCAGGCTCAAAAGTAGCCTGTCCCAATTGCTAAAAAGAATGTGCTGTACTAGTCACAGCTGTAATTTGAATCATATAGCAGTGAGCATCGGGAAATCAATAGATCTCAAATTAGCAAGCTGTTGGTCTATACAAATACTATGCACGTTGTCGTGCGCGCTTCTGAAATCATAAGAAAACAGGACGCGCAGTGATGAACCTGGGTGGCAGGCAGGGCCAGTCTGGTAGTATAGAACCTTGTCGCTTAACTCTGATGAAAATAGAACACTCCTGATTACCTGTCTAACTTCTGGCGCCCAGGGCGATCTTGTGAATATCGCCACCCCGGTTCCGGTTTGTATGTCAAACAAATGATGAGTGGTTAAAGGACAGCACATCGCAACCGTCTCTTGTCCTCAATGCCCTCGATGTCACCGCCCGAGTCACCGCCAGGCTCCCTAGACTCCAATATGGCCCTCGTGGAATTGCTACCCTCCAGCCTGGGTTCATCGCCTGCCTCGTCCCGGTCAGGCAGTCTGCATCGTCCAACCAGCAGTGTCAGCATTACCCTAGGCGTTACACTAGACGACCAGTCCACGCACGTTCCTACCCCGGTCCAGCACATCTTCTGTGCTACTCTCATCATCCCATTGGGCGAGGTGCTCTTCATTCTGTTCCTCAACTTCCTGCGCGACAGGCGCAGAAATTGCCAGCTGCTCATCTGGATCTTGAGCGACTTCAGCCGTTCGCTTGTCGATATCAAGACTGAAATACGCCTGCGTCAGAACAAGTACACAGAGTTTTATGCGGTCGTGCAGCACTTCATTGCTCGGGACGATGAATCGGTTTTGTTCCAGGTAAAGCTGGTTAGATGGAATACGGCTTGGGGCTGGCACGCACCGAATGAGGAGGGCCAGCTGGTTGCCTATGTGCTGGTACCACTGGAGAACTGCACCGCACGCTACCAGGACCCCAACCGCTTCGCGTACTTCAAGGCTCCTACCTCCCTCATCAACTACATGTACACCATTGCAGAGCGGGTCGCTGCCGCCAACACGAAGGAGGAGGTCCTGCGTCTCCCCAACAACCCGGTCACTAATGCTCTTCACAAGAGCTTTGTGATGGAGCCGGACCTCAAGTACTTCTACCGCGGGCAAAGCACAGGTGTTGCGATGACCGAGGAGGACCACCGGACAACGGTGAAGTCGGACTTAGGCCCCATCCCACCGGACTTCAACCCTCAGGCCAGCTATGTACGTTACACCAGCCAGTTGCCAACATGCATAAGTCACTCACGAAACTAGTACAGGCTCCATACCTCCTCCGCTTCACCAAGTTTGAGCTAGGTGCAGCCCTTCGAGCGTCTCAAGCTCCCGGGATCCCCCTCTCTCAGCCCATCTGCTTCGGCTCCACTCCAGCGTTGCAAAGCACATGAGGATCTCGCAAGCCTGTGGGATCAGGGAAGGGAAGGGAGACCAGCCCGAGGACGTGGGCCCGCTCATGTTAAACCCCCTCCGTACTCCCCTTTTCTTTGAAACTCCGCACCGTCGTCATGTCTTAGATCCTGTTGTCGCTCAATCCTGTCCCAATCATTCTGCCCAGCTGTTACTCTGCCCCCTGCCCTACCCGTCTTACAATGCTCATCATCCCCTATCACCACGAATATACCTATCTTGACTTGCGGCAAAGCGCCCAACGTGGGAGATTGGAAATGAGAGCGTGCAAAGAGATGTAGGACGGACCGGAGATCCATAGTATCAGCAGGAATGTTCCGGAAGCATTTAGGAGCTTAGGAGGGTTGTGATCAGTACTGGGAGAACAGTAGAATGATACGGAAGGAACTAGGAAGATCTGGACTGGAGAAAGGTAGAATAGTATAAATAGCTCGTAGTAGTTGTAGCAAGAAAGCAAGCAAGTTTTACTCGAATTTATGATTGATCACGCGCTAGCCATCTAGTGGTTCAATCCAGCTGCCAGCTCACCTCGCATCAATAACTAGGCCACGATCACCAACTAAGGTGCCGATAAGCTCAGCCACTCCACCGAAGGACAAGCACTGCTGTTATCGACGACCTTATTGAAGATCTGCACCCGTTTCGACCGACGCTGTTCGCACCTGTTGACGCTAGTACTCTGTGCCAACTGAACAATCTCATAGACCTACCTACGCTGGTCGTATCTCTTTATTCTATGATTTACTGTTGTACGCTACGATACGAGTCCTCGAGTTGATCCTCTAGACACCTACGTACAGTAGAAATTCACCTTCGTTACCCCTCGAAGGAAGGACCATCTCCCCTACAAACCACCGGGAACGTCCGGGAAACCTGTGAAACCCGACTTACCTGGCGAGCGACTTTTCCTGATTCGCACTAAGCTCAGCCAACCTCTATGTCACCCCACTTTGCTTGACAGCATCACTTTCTTTTGCTGTACCGCCACAACGTGAGCCTTAGGATACCTGCGACAATTGACAGTGAGAGATGAAGGAACAGTAGTGGGCATCACGACTGACAGATATTATTCCCGAGTTGAGTGCAGTTCAGTTCTGGTCAGTCCAGAAGCATGTTTCAAGAGCTCGGGGCTGGTACCATGGGCTCGGGGCAGGCACCATCGGCTCAGAGCCGGCCTGGTGTATTCAGTATGTGTACCATTGTCTGAGATCAGCCGTTGGCGTAAGGCAGTAGTTATCAACCCACACCTGAATAATCAATGTGATGTGAAGTGCTTTGAAGTTTGCACATAGTCAGTGAAAAAATAAAACCCTCGGGGGTCTTGGGGCATGCTTGGGAATTTTTTCCAGAGTCCTTAGTTACCAAACTAGGCCTTGAAATGCATTCAAAGGCTATAATCTGTTTAGACATTATATAGTACAGACAGTGTATTAAAACTGATTGATAGAAATCTCGGGGCATTGGTAAAGTCTTGGGGCACATTTGGGGACTCGGGGCTTGGGGCTTTGAGCTCGGGGAATAGTGGGTATTAGCTAGTCTTTGAAGCATCCGCTCAGGCTTCAAGAGGATTTGCAAGAGTTGTATCTAAATGCTAACAGATATGCAGTCCACTGGGTAACTCTAGATTGCCTCGGGGTAGACTATACGGCTTTTGGTAGCTCCGGAGTATGCCTTCTCATCTTGGAGTGTTGTTGGTCTTGATTGCTTTGGGGCATACTTGGTGGCTTCAGGGTGTATTCAATGACTTTGAGGTATACTGAGTTATTCAAGGGCATATGTCATTATCTGGCTACCACTCTATTGCTTGGAGTAATACTTATGAGTCTCATTGAGCCTAGGAGACTCGGAGATTACTGTTCAAGTACATGCTTTGGTTAGAGCAGGCATTCTCAATAACCTGAGCAAGCTCATCATATTGCCAGCTTACTCTACTCCCAGGCTACTATCCTCATAATTATGGTAGCTCTGAAGCTTTCATAGATGTGTGACTATGCCCAATAGTGTTGGGGCAAGCTTGGGGCAGTCTGGTGAACAGGTTATCAGGGCTAAGATCTTCTTCCCTCCCTATCTCTATGCCCAATTGTGATACAACTATCATTTGGATATGATTGAAAGCTGTATACATGGTATATCAGGTTCACAGATGTATTTGAGATCTACAATAGGTCATACTGTCACTTGCTTTTGCACAGACATCATGAATTTTGACTGTGAAAATAGGAGGAGCACTAGTCTAATACTCGGTAACCACTAGATAGATTTGTGAGACATTTGACATGAGTATATTAACATGGGATATAGTTTGATTGAACCAGGCACCGAGCCATATATAGCACAATACTGTACTGGTAACCCCAGTTTGATTCAGACATCCCA